AGAGCGTCACGCCGTAGTTGACGCAGCCCGAGCCTTTCCGAAGTGATTTTTATCTGAAACAAAAGCTCAGTTTGACCTTAAATCATGTTCTTTTTTTACGTGTTTAGTGTCTCCGCGGAACCGGCCGCTCCGAACATGAGTCCAGCCGCGAGTCCGTGAGCTTTAACCCAGCGGAACCGGTCCGAAAGAGGAGTTTAACCCACGGAGCTACGCGCTAAAGCTAAAGCAGGTCTGTGTATGTGTGAATGTGCGCGGGAGAAATATCCAGAATAAAGTCAAAATATCCAGAATAAAGTCAAAATATCCAGAATAAAGTCAAAATATCCAGAATAAAGTCAAAATATCCAGAATAAAGTGGACCATTTGGTGGACGTGACTTGACAAACCCAGATGTGTGCGGGTTTAGAGCTGCTCAGGTGTTGGTGAAGGTTCCACCGCCGTTTCACTCTGACCTGGAGCTTTAGGGAGACCACAAGTCCACACTGACCCGGGACAGGTCCAGAGCGAGACCCGTGTCCCCCCCCCCCCTCTGTCCCCCAGCAGATTTTACATAAAACCACTGGTTTGTCTCAGTCTGATAAACGAACTGTCCCAGGAGTCTCCAGATGTGACTAATCTGATCTAAACCAGGACTAAACCAGGACTAAACCAGGACTAAACCAGGTCTAAACCAGGACTGTGTAATTACACCTGTGTTACTCTGTGTGTTTGTAATTGTCGCTTTTTGTGTGTGTTGTGGTTTACCTGGTGTGTGTTGTGGTTTACCTGGTGTGTGTTGTGGTTTACCTGGTGTGTGTTGTGGTTTACCTGGTGTGTGTTGTGGTTTACCTGGTGTGTGTTGTGGTTTACCTGGTGTGTGTACCTGGTCTTTGTGGTTTCAGGAGATGTCGTTCCCGTTTAAGATTCCTCGCAGAGCTCCGTCGGACTCGAACTCAGACTCGGTGCAGATGACCTCCCCCCTGTCCAGACTCCAGGACCACGCACACACTCTGAAGGTGGAACCTTTCACACTCTGCACACACTCTGAAGGTGGAACCTTTCACACTCTGCACACACTCTGAAGGTGGAACCTTTCACACACACTCTGAAGGTGGAACCTTTCACACTCTGCACACACTCTGAAGGTGGAACCTTTCACACTCTGCACACACTCTGAAGGTGGAACCTTTCACACTCTACAGCCACATTAAGGTGGAAGTGTTTGTGTACGAGAGCAGAACACGACGTGTGAATACTCGAATACTCGAATAATGAAGGGACGGTCTGTGGGTCCTTCCTCCAATCGTCTCCAAACGTCTCCAAACATCTCCAAACATCTGCAGAGTTTGGTCCAAAACAGAAGGAAAAGTTTTTCTGTAAAACTGATAGAACAAAGATATGACTCAATATTTAAGGTGGTATTATCAGTGTATGAACATGTTTAAGGTGGTATTATCAGTGTATGAACATGTTTAAGGTGGTATTATCAGTGTATGAACATGTTTAAGGTGGTATTATCAGTGTATGAACATGTTTAAGGTGGTATTATCAGTGTATGAACATGTTTAAGGTGGTATTATCAGTATATGAACATGTTTAAGGTGGTATTTTTGTGTTTGTTTCAGAGTTTTTCCTCGTTCAGAGACAGGAATGTCGGTGGGAGCAGCTCAAACCGGTCAGTCTGGTGTCTGTGTCTAAACTCAAATGCAAATTAAACCCCTCCACACTTTGTCAAATATTATTTATTATTTCTTTATTATTTCTTTTTTCTTTTTTCAGAGAAAGAAACACTCTGAAAATCCATCTCAAACCCCGAGTCGAACCCAAACCCACTGAGACTTTTTCTAACGGGTCAGTGCTGTTTTAAAAGAACTTGGACTAGAAATAAGAAAACTGTCACTACTATTATAATACTCACTAATAATACTACTACTGCTACTACTACTGCTACTACTGTTACTACTACTACTACTACAACTACAACTACTACTTCTTCTCTTGTTATTCATCCTGTTGTTTGATTGTGTGTGTTCTGTCTGACTGTGTTGTGTGTGTGTTGTGTGTTGTGTTGTGTGTGTTGTTGTGTGTGTTGTGTGTGTTGTGTTGTGTGTGTGTGTTGTGTTGTGTGTGTTGTGTGTGTTGTGTGTTGTGTTGTTGTGTGTGTTGTTGTGTGTTGTGTGTGTGTGTGTTGTGTGTGTGTTGTGTGTGTGTGTGTTGTGTGTGTTGTTGTGTGTTGTGTGTGTTGTGTGTGTTGTGTGTTTGTGTGTTGTGTGTGTTGTTGTGTGTTGTGTGTGTTGTGTGTGTTGTGTGTGTGTGTGTGTGTGTGTTGTGTGTTGTGTGTGTTGTTTGTGTGTGTTGTGTGTGTGTGTGTGTGTGTGTGTTGTGTGTTGTGTGTGTGTGTTGTGTGTGTGTGTGTTGTGTGTTGTGTGTGTGTTGTGTGTTGTGTGTTGTGTTGTGTGTGTTGTGTGTGTTGTGTGTGTGTGTGTGTGTGTTGTTGTGTGTTGTTGTGTGTTGTGTTGTTGTGTGTGTGTGTGTGTTGTGTGTGTGTTGTGTGTTGTTGTGTTGTTGTGTGTGTGTGTGTTGTGTGTGTTGTTGTGTGTTGTGTGTGTTGTGTGTGTTGTTGTTGTGTGTGTGTGTGTTGTGTTGTGTGTGTGTGTGTGTGTGTGTGTGTGTGTGTTGTGTGTGTGTTGTGTGTGTGTTGTTGTGTGTGTTGTGTGTTTGTGTGTGTTGTGTGTTGTTGTGTGTTTGTTGTGTGTGTTGTTGTGTGTGTGTGTGTTGTGTTGTTGTGTGTGTGTGTGTGTGTGTGTGTGTTGTGTGTGTGTTGTGTGTGTTGTGTTGTTGTGTTGTTGTGTGTGTTGTGTGTTGTGTGTGTGTGTGTGTGTGTTGTGTTGTTGTGTGTGTTGTGTGTGTTGTGTGTGTGTTGTGTTGTGTTGTGTTGTGTGTGTGTGTGTGTGTTGTGTGTGTTGTTGTGTAGGTGGCGTCCCAAACGAGCCTCAGATCGTCTCCTCTCTCCTCGGGCTTCAGTCTCTTCAGTCGACGTGAAAAATGACAAAAGTTTGGATTCTCCTCCAAAACCGTCGAGTGTCTCAGGTCAGACTCATCCGCTCATGTACGTCTGATCACATTCATGTTCACAGATTCATTTAGACAAAGTGAATAAAAGTGAATAAAAGTGAATAAAAGTGCTGAGTCTGTTGTGGAGTCAGAGCTGCGTTTACCTGCTGCGGCCTGTAGGTGGCACTGTGCTCTTACACTTTCTGCTCTGTGGAGACTCTTCTGAAAACTCTCATTCATGATTAAATAATAATGTTATTCAAGTACAAAGTGGTGAACTACAAGTGTGATGGTTCAGTGTGACTCATGTCAAAGTAAAAAGTATTTGGGAAAAGTACTCCTGAAGTCAGAGTAACTTAAAGAGTCACTGTGGGCGTCACATCTGAGCTGGAATTTTAGTAAATGTGAAAAAACCTGAAAAAACAAACAAAATCCACCAAACCAAATCTGATCAGAAGGAGCTGTAACAAACACAGACACAGAAACAAACTTTTACTCGAGTAAAATCTGTGACTTTCCCGAACACAAACTTCACATTTGTGTTTGAGTTTAGAAGAACATGTGACCTGCTGCTCGTGGTCAGAGTCATTGAAGTGTTTTTTATTGAAGTGTTGCTCCTCCTCTTCAGACCGGAGCTCGCCGCCCCCCCTCGCCGCGCCGCCCCCCTCGCACCGCCCCCCTCCCGCCCGCCCTCTCGACCCTCTGCACGACCTCCGAGCACAACGGCATCATGGGAGTTCACCTGCAGACAGGAAGTGCTCCAGGACTCAGGAAACGCCAAAGAAGGAGAAGGTGAGACACAGCGATGGTTCCTGGAGGGTGGAGTTTGCATGTTCTCCCTGTGTTTCCCCCTCACCTCCTCCAGCGAGGTTCTCCTGACCCTGACCTCTGACCTCTGACCTCCTCCAGCGAGGTTCTCCTGACCCTGACCTCTGACCTCCTCCAGCGAGGTTCTCCTGACCCTGACCATGACCTCTGACCTCTGACCTCCTCCAGCGAGGTTCTCCTGACCCTGACCATGACCTCTGACCTCTCACCTCCTCCAGCGAGGTTCTCCTGACCCTGACCATGACCTGACCTTTGACCTCTGACCAGGCTCTAAGGTTTTAAAGAGAGTTATTCTAAAACTGTCTCTTATGTTCTAACGTTGTTCCTCGTCATGCATGTTTGAATAATCCAGTGATCTGTCCTGGTCCTGTTCAAACCCTCCCCACAGTCCGAGCCTGTACGAGGCTCCGCCCACTGTCCACAGCGTCCTGACAGAGCTGATGTTCTGAGACTCGCTCAGGACACTTCATGTTTCACCTTTTTCTCTTCTGAAAATGTTTCATTATTTTGGCCTAAAAAGTAAATTCTGACAGATTCATGTTTTATTTTAAATCAAACAAACTGATTCTGAGCTTTGATCCATGTTCTGATGTTCTGTTGTTCTGTTGTTCTGATGTTCTGTTGTTCTGATGTTCTGTTGTTCTGTTGTCCTGTTCTGTTCTGTTGTTCTGTTGTTCTCTTGTTCTGTTGTTCTGATGTTCTGTTTCTGTTGTTCTGTTGTTCTGTTGTTCTGTTGTTCTGTTGTTCTGTTGTTCTGATGTTCTGATGTTCTGATGTTCTGATGTCCTGTTGTTCTCTTGTTCGTTGGTCCTGGTCACACTCAGATCTGCAGTTGTGTTTGTTTCATTCACATGTCTTTATTATGAGTCTGTTTACACTGAGTGTGTGAAGAAAACACAACTCCAGGTGTGAGTGTCGAGGAACATGAGAACATGAGAACAGAAGAACATGAGAACAGAAGAACAGATCAGATCAGAGGAGCAGAGAGTTACAGCAGTTAAACCAAAAGCCTCAGGTGTGTTTTGTTTTGTTTTTGTGTTTCCAGAGTGTGTTGTCCTCAGACAGAGCTGCTCCTCCTGCTCCTCCTGCTCCTCCTGCTCCAACACAACAGGTGATTTTTATTTCACCTTCATGTTCTAGGTCCAAACGTGTCCCTCAGAGCTGTTCTCCAGCGGTTCTCCTCAGATGTTCTCCAGCGGTTCTCCTCAGATGTTCTCCAGCGGTTCTCCTCAGATGTTCTCCAGCGGTTCTCCTCAGATGTTCTCGTGGTTTCAGTTGAGTTTGATGTTTGCAGAGCGGCTGGTCCGAGCTCAGCGACGTCCGAGAGAAACAGAGACTCAAGTGGAAACAGTTTAAAGAAAAGAAACAAAACCGGACTCACAGCAGGACCCACAGAACCCAGGACCAGAACCGGGACCAGAACCGGACCAAGACCAGGACTACGGCCAGCTCTGAGCCCAGTGAGTCCAGACTGAACCAGGACTGAACCAGGACTGAACCAGGACTGAACCAGGACTGAACCAGGACTGAACCAGGACTGAACCAGGACTGAACCAGGACTGAACCAGGACTGAACCAGGACTGAACCAGGACTGAACCAGGGACAAAAAAAAGACTAAACGAGACCTTGTTGTGGTTTGTTTGTTTGTTGATGTTTTTGTGTGTTTATTTGTGTTTGTTTGTGTTTGTTTGTGTTTGCAGTTGTTTTGTCGAGTGAAGAGGAGGAAGAGGAGCAGAGTGACATCATCAGGAGCGACCAATCAGAGCGCTCCGAGCAAACGCAGGTGAGAGACGTACAGGTGAGACACACAAGACCAGAACCTTCAGGCTTTTTTCTCCTCCACCTCTCTTCTTCTCCAGAGCAGCTGTCGGGTCTTAAAAGTCTTAAAAAGTCTTAAATTCTGTTGTCCAAGTTTAATTTTTTTCACAAAGGTCTTAAATTTCTTTAGCCTATTTTTTTTGTTAAACTCACCTGCCCTGCAGTTCAACCTTAAACAGAGAGAGGAAAAAAAACAACAACAATGTGAAATCGTGAAATCGTGTAACGTGAAAGAACGTCTGATCTGGAGTCTGTGGCGGCGGCGGCGGCGGCGGCGTCAGTGAGTAAACGATGAGTCCGGTGGAGGAAGACGATGGATCAGGAGGAAGTGCAGGTTTAATCCTCAGTGACTGTAGTTGTTTGGTCATTACTGGAGTTGGATCTGGTGTTTTTCGCCCATGTAACTGGTGCGATGTTGGTCTTCATTTTTATCTACTGTATTTTCTGGCTTATTAGTCGCGCTCTTAAGCCTCTAACCACAGCAAAAAACAACCGCGCGCTACAACTGAACAAAGCCCAGAGTCACCGTGAACAAACAAACAAAACCACTGACCCATCACACTGTTGGGTTTCCTTTAAAGTCCCACCAGGTTTATTTGGGAAAAAAGTTCAAAAATAAACCATTTAATGACAGAGCGTCTTATAATCCAGAGCGAATAATAGTGCAGAAAATACAGTAAGTGATCTTAAAAAAGGTCTTTAAAAAGTTTTATATTTGGGGAAGTCAAACGTGGGGACACACTGTTCTCTGTCTCCTCCTCGTTTCATTCATGTATTTACAGTTTTGTGTTTTGTCTGTTCCAGGCGGTCGCTCCCTCCCTCTCCTCCTCCCTCTCCTCCTCCCTCTCCTCCTCCCTCTCCTCCTCCCTCTCCTCTTCTGTCTCCTCGTCTCCTCCACACTCCTCCGCTCCTCCTCCCTCCTTCCTGCAGTTGGATTTCTCCTCCTTCCACTTGGGTTTGTCCAGAGCCGAGGCCGGAGGTAAAATCACGGTGAGTCCAGAGTCCAGTCGGAGTCTCCACACTCCATAAAACTTTATAAAACTTTATAAACCCGTCTGTGATTTTACACATTAAACAGAAGAACTTTATTTTTATTTTCCCATGTGTCTTTATATCTGTGTCATCCTCAGTGGTTCAGGACTAAACCAGGTCTAAACCAGGACTAAAACAGCTCTAAACCAGGTCTAAACCAGGTCTAAACCAGCTCTAAACCAGGTCTAAACCAGGTCTAAACCAGGACTAAACCAGGACTAAACCAGGTCTAAACCAGGTCTAAACCAGGTAAACCAGGACTAAACCAGGACTAAACCAGGACTAAACCAGGACTAAACCAGGTCTAAACCAGGTCTAAACCAGGTCTAAACCAGGTCTAAACCAGGTCTCAGCCTGAGCTCTGTGTTTGAGTCTTGTTTTTGGTCTCAGACTGTGCAGAGCTCAGAGTCTTGCTCAAAGGCACAGGGGCAGAGGGCGGTTGAACCCTCACCCCTCCTCCTCCTCCTCCTCCTCTTGGTCTCCGTGTTGGTCTTGGCTCTCTCTGGGCCTTTCCATGTTCTGCTCCTGGATCTAGACCAGGTTCTGGGGTCCCTCAGTCCTTCAGGGTCTAATGTCTCACACATGTTTTCCACCTTCACTTTGTTTAGAGAAAAACCCCAAGACTGTGGGAAAACATGGACTAAACCGGGACTAAAACAGGTCTAAACCCGGTCTAAAACCCGGTGTAAACCAGGAGTAAACCAGGACTAAACCAGGACTAAAACAGGAATAAAACACGGACTAAACCAGGTCAAATATATGTGTAAATAAAAGTGTTTCTTGTTGTGGTTTGTGTTTCAGATCACAGAGAGCAGCATCTCCATCCCCCTCAGAGGTAACTTCACACAACAGCAGGAAGGTTCCGCAGTGTGGCTTTAATGTCCCTCTCACTCTGACGTTCTCCTGCTGTAGATCTGTGGAACTCCAGGTTCATGTTTATCTATAAATGTCTCATCACCAAATCTTCAACAAAATCCACAAAGAAAAAAAAAAAATCCAAACATGAAAAATTTATCCACAACTCAAGAAAAACAAAACTTAAAGGAAACGACGAGGAGCATAATCCTCAGCGACACTTCAGACGAGGGGAAAAAGGCTTTTCTGACTCTGATCTCTGGTCTGACTTTAGGTCCTGGTCCTGGTCTCAGTCCTGGTCCTAGTCTCAGTCCTGGTCTGGGGTCTTCGGTGGACTTGTGTGTCGTGGCGTCTCAGGTCAAAGCGTTCGGTCTGTGGGACGGGGGCGTGGCCAGGGGCGGGACTCTCTTCTCTGACCCCTCCCACAGCCCCTCAGGCCCCGCCCCCTCGCTGCTCTTCCTGTGGATCAGCGACGCCCAATCGAAGCTTCTGCACGTCGAACTGAGCCAGATCCACCGACCCGCGGGTAAGACCAGAACCAGACCAGAACCAGACCCACCGACCCACGACCAGACCCACTGACCCACAGGTAAGACCAGAACCAGACCAGAACCAGACTCACCGACCCACGACCAGACCCACCGACCCGCGGGTAAGACCAGAACCAGACCAGAACCAGACCCACCGACCAGACAGAACTAGACCCACCGACCCACGACCAGATCCACCGACCCGCGGGTAAGACCAGAACCAGACCAGAACCAGACCCACCGACCCACGACCAGACCCACCGACCCGCGGGTAAGACCAGAACCAGACCAGAACCAGACTCACCGACCCACGACCAGACCCACCGACCACCGCAGGTAAGACCAGAACCAGACCAGAACACCAGACCCACGACCAGACCCACTGACCCACAGGTAAGACCAGAACCAGACCAGAACCAGACCAGAACCAGACCCACCGACCCACGACCAGACCCACTGACCCACAGGTAAGACCGGACTAGAACTGGGACTAAGCAGGACTAAAACTGGACTAAACCAGGGATTTGAGTAGGGACTAAAACTGGACCAAAAAAAAAACAGGGTCTAACTCTGGTCTCCAATCTCTGGTCTCTGGCCTAACCCGGTCTTTGTTCTGGTCTCTGGTCTAGACCCGGTCTCTGGTCTCCCGGTCTTTGTTCTGGTCTCTGGTCTGACCCGGTCTTTGTTCTGGTCTCTGGTCTGACCCGGTCTTTGTTCTGGTCTCTGGTCTGACCCGGTCTTTGTTCTGGTCTCTGGTCTAGACCCGGTCTGCTGTGTGGTTCTTCTGGTTCTGAAGGAGCAGCTCTCGGACTTGGACTCTGCTCTGGTCTTGTCGGTCTTGGACTCCGGAGACTACAGAAGGTCCAGGTCTAGATCCGGATCGGGACCTTTAGACTGGAGTCAGGGTCTAGTCCTGGTCCACACCTGCCCCGCACCTGTCGACTCACACCTGCTGCACCTGCTCGGCCAAAAGAAGAAGACGACAGTCGACCAGGTCAGACGCCCACATGTGTGTCAGGGCCCCCCCTGTAACGGTTTGTGTGTAACGGTGTGTGTGTTTCAGGTTGGAGTTGTGAGGACCAGGTCCAGGCTCAGGTCTGGAGCTCAGAAGTTTCCCTCCAGGTGATGTAAAGTGTTTTTATTTTCCTCAGTTTGAGTTTGAGTCCAGTCCCGGTCTAGTCCCGGTCTAGTCCCGGTCTAGTCCCGGTCTAGTCCCGGTCTAGTCCTGTTTTCCTGTTGCAGGCTGATGCAGTACCCCGCGGCGCCCTCTAGAGGGGGCATCTCTGTGAGTTCTGAGGACCTTCTGTGTCTGAGTCCAGGACAGTTCCTCAACGACGTCATCATCGACTTCTACCTCAAGTCAGTGTCACCCTGGTCCCGTTAAAGCCACATTCCGGCACATTCTGCTGCAGTTCCCGTGTTGTCCTGTTGTGTGTGTCAGGTACTTGGTGCTGGAGGGTGTAGGGGGCGCTGTGGCCCACAGGAGCCACGTCTTCAGCAGCTTCTTTTACAAACAGCTCAGTAAGAGACGAGCGGCGGGAGAAGACGACCCCGCCTCTGTGCCGTAAGTCCACACGGACCGGCTCCGGACCGGCTCCGGACCGGCTCCGGACCGGCTCCGGACCGGCTCCGGACCGGCTCCGGACCTCACACTCAGAGTTACGAGGCGCGTCTGTGCTCTGGCGTTCCTCTAAGTGTCGTTGTGTTTTCAGAGATCGCCACACGAGGCACCGGAGAGTCAAAACCTGGACCAGGAACGTGGACATTTTCAACAAGGACTTCCTCTTTGTGCCTGTCAATCAAGAGTAAGTACCAACTCGGTCCGGGTCCGGGTCTGGGTCGGGTCCGGGTCCGGGTCTGGGTCCGGGTCTGGGTCCGGGTCTGGGTCTGGGTCTGGGGGGTCTGGGTCCGGGTCTGGGTCTCGTGTGTTTCTCTGAACTTGTCGTGTCTCTTCAGGTCTCACTGGTTCTTGGTGCTCGTGTGTTTTCCTGGACTCGAGGAGCCCAAACACCAGGACTTCAAACCCTGCTCAGGTACCAGGACCAGACCAGGACCAGACCAGGACCAGACCAGACCAGGACCAGACCAGGACCAGACCAGGACCAGGACCAGACCAGGACTATAGTTTAGTGAAGCTGGTTTGTGTTTTGTTCTGGTGTTTTCAGACGCAGTGAGGCCTGGGTTTGGTTTGCGCCCACAGACTCCACCGGTAAATAACAACTATTTTATATTCTCAACCCTAATGACCCCTGACCCCTGACCCCCGACCCCCGACCCCTGACCCCTGACCCCTGACCCCTGACCCCTGTGCTGCAGGATTTAAAGTTACATGTCTGTGTTTGTTTTCAGGAGTGCACACTGAAGGGCTGCAGGAAAAACAAGGTCTTAAAACGGTAATGATCCTTTTACTTTAGTCCTGTTATTAGTCTTGTTTTAGTCCTGGTTTAGTCCTGTTTTTAGTCCTGGTCTAGTCCTGGTTCAGACCTGTTTTAGTCCTGTTTTCAGTCCTGCTCTGGTCTCGTTTCAGTCCGTGTCTTCTGGTGATGGACTCGTTGAAGCTCTCGTACCATGAGACGGTCTGCAGGCTGCTGCGAGAGTGAGTCTGCTCTACTCAAAAGTCACGCACTGCTCCTTTAATGTCACTGTGTCGCCGTAGTTACCTGCAGGTGGAGTGGGCGGGGCTTACGTGTGTCCTTGTTGCCCTAGTTACCTGCAGGTGGAGTGGGAGGGGCTTACGTGTGTGTCCTTGTTGCCGTAGTTACCTGCAGGTGGAGTGGGAGGGGCTTACGTGTGTGTCCTTGTTGCCGTAGTTACCTGCAGGTGGAGTGGGAGGGGCTTACGTGTGTGTTCTTGTTGCCGTAGTTACCTGCAGGTGGAGTGGGAGGGGCTTACAGTGTGTTCTTGTTGCCGTAGTTACCTGCAGGTGGAGTGGGAGGGGCTTACAGGTGTGTTCTTGTTGCCGTAGTTACCTGCAGGTGGAGTGGGAGGGGCTTACAGGTGTGTTCTTGTTGCCGTAGTTACCTGCAGGTGGAGTGGGAGGTGCGTCGAGGTTCTCGGCGTCTTTTTTCCTCCGACTCGATGAAAAGCTCAAACTGTAAAGTTCCACAACAAGACAACAGCTCCGACTGTGGAGTTTATCTGCTCCAGTACGCACACACCTTCCTCCAGGTGAGACACACACACACACACACACACACACACCTTCCAGGTGAGACACACACACACACACCTTCCTCCAGGTGAGACACACACACACACACACACACACCTTCCTCCAGGTGAGACACACACACACACACACACACCTTCCTCCAGGTGAGACACACACACACACACACGCACACACCTTCCTCCAGGTGAGACACACACACACACACCTTCCTCCAGGTGAGACACACACACACACACACACACACACCTTCCTCCAGGTGAGACACACACACACACACACACACTATACACACACACACACACACACACCTTCCTCCAGGTGAGACACACACACACACACACACGCACACACCTTCCTCCAGGTGAGACACACACACACACACACACAATACACACACACCTTCCTCCAGGTGAGACACACACACACACACACACACACACACACCTTCCTCCAGGTGAGACACACACACACACACACACACACACACACACCTTCCTCCAGGTGAGACACACACACACACACACACACACACACCTTCCTCCAGGTGAGACACACACACACACACAACACACACACACACCTCCTCCAGGTGAGACACACACACACTATACACACACACACACACACACACCTTCCTCCAGGTGAGACACACACACACACACACACACACACACACACACACACACACCTTCCTCCAGGTGAGACACACACACACACACACACACCACACACCTTCCTCCAGGTGAGACACACACACACACTACACACACACACACACACACACACCTTCCTCCAGGTGAGACACACACACACACATACACACACACACACACCGCACACACCTTCCTCCAGGTGAGACACACACACACACACACACACACCTTCCTCCAGGTGAGACACACACACACACACACACACACGCACACACCTTCCTCCAGGTGAGACACACACACACACACACACCTTCCTCCAGGTGAGACACACACACACACACACACACACACACACACACACCTTCCTCCAGGTGAGACACACACACACACACACACCTTCCTCCAGGTGAGACACACACACACACACACACACACACCTTCCTCCAGGTGAGACACACACACACACACACACACACACCTTCCTCCAGGTGAGACACACACACACACACACACACACACACACACTTCCTCCAGGTGAGACACACACACACACTATACACACACACACACACACCTTCCTCCAGGTGAGACACACACACACACACACACACCTTCCTCCAGGTGAGACACACACACACACACACACACACACACACACACACCTTCCTCCAGGTGAGACACACACACACACATACACACACACCTTCCTCCAGGTGAGACACACACACACACACACACACACACCTTCTCCAGGTGAGACAACACACACACTTCCTCCAGGTGAGAACACACACACACACACACACACACCTTCCTCCAGGTGAGACACACACACACACACACACCTTCCTCCAGGTGAGACACACACATACACACACACACACCTTCCTCCAGGTGAGACACACACACACACACACACTACACACACACACACACATTCCTCCAGGTGAGACACACACACACACACTATACACACACACACACACACACACCTTCCTCCAGGTGAGACACACACACACACACACACACACACACACCACACACTTCCCCAGGTGAGACACACACACACACACACACACTTCCTCCAGGTGAGACACACACACACACACACACACACACACACTTCCTCCAGTGACACAACACACACACTATACACACACACACACACTTCCCCAGGTGAGACACACACACACACACACACACCTTCCTCCAGGTGAGACACACACACACACACACACACACACACACACACCTTCCTCCAGGTGAGACACACACACACACACAGTACACACACACACACACACACCTTCCTCCAGGTGAGACACACACACACACACACACACACTCACACACACACACACACACACTTCCAGGTGAGACACACACACACACACACACACGGTGACACACACACACACACACTTACACACACACACACACACACACACACACACACACTTCCTCCAGGTGAGACACACACACACACACACACACCTTCCTCCAGGTGACACACACACACACACACACACACACCACACACACACACACACACACACACTTCCTCCAGGTGAGAACACACACACACACACACTTCACACACACACCTTCCTCCAGGTGAGACACACACACACACACACACCTAGGTACACACACACACACACAACACACACACACACACACACACACACACACACCTTCCTCCAGCTGACAAGCACACACACACACACACACACACTACACACACACACACACACACTATGCACACACACACTATACACACACGGGGAGGGCATCTGACTCTTTGTGATTCTTTCTGTTCAGAACCCTGTGGTGAACTTTGACCTCCCCGTGAGACTCGAGACCTGGTTTCCACGACAACAAGTCCGGAACAAACGAGAAGAAATCAAGAGTCTGGTCCTGAAACTGCACCAAGACCAGGGACTGAACCAGGACTAGACCAGGACCAAGACCAGGACCAAGACCAGGGACTGGACCAGGACCAAGACCAGGACCAAGACCAAGACCAGGACCAAGACCAGGGACTGAACCAGGACTAGACCAGGACCAAGACCAGGACCAAGACCAGGACCAAGACCAGGACCAAGACCAGGGACTGAACCAGGACCAAGACCAGGACCAAGACCAGGAACTACACCAGGACTGTGTGAATGAACTCTTGTAGTTTTTTTTTGTTTGTTTTTATTTTTATTTTTTATGAAGGATTTAGTCTTAATTAATTTATTAATAATAAATGTGAGAAAACAATTGTGTTTCATGTGTTTTTATTTCACCCTGATCGTCTCTTCAAGACCAGGACCGGACCAGGACCGGACCAGGACGAGGCTGGGACTCCGTTTCCCATGATGCTCTCTGTTTTAATGTGATTAATTGAGAGTGTCTGAGTCTTAAAGCTCAGGTTAAAGGTCACTGGGACACTTTCTGTGTCCTTATGTTCTTCCTGTACGGACAAAGACCTGGACAAAGACCTGGACAAAGACCTGGACAAAGACCTGGACAAAGACCTGGACAAAGACCTGGACTGAATCTGAACTGAACCAAGACTGAACCAAGACTTTATTGGCCCTTGTTAGACTCTGATTTGGTCTTCTCTCTGGTCTTTCTCTGGTCTTTCTTTGGTCCTGTCTCTGGTCTCTGGTCTCTGGTCTCTGGTCTCTGGTCTCTGGTCTGGTCTCTGGTCTCTGGTCTGGTCTCTGGTCTCTGGTCTGGTCTCTGTGGTCTCTGGTCTCTGGGTCTCTGGTCTCTGTCTCTGGTCTCTGTCTGGTCTCTGGTCTCTGGTCTCTGGTCTGGTCTCTGGTCTCTGTGGTCTCTGGTCTCTGGTCTCTGTGGTCTCTGGTCTCTGTGTCTCTGGTCTGGTCTCTGGTCTCTGTCTCTGGTCTCTGGTCTCTGGTCTCTGGTCTCTGGTCTCTGGGTCTCTCTGGTCTCTGGTCTCTGGTCTCTGGTCTCTGTGGTCTCTGTGGTCTCTGTCTCTGGTCTCTCTGGTGGTCTCTGGTCTCTGTGGTCTCTGGGTCTCTGGTCTGGTCTCTGGTCTCTGGTCTCTGGTCTGGTCTCTGTCTGGTCTCTGGTCTGGTCTCTGGGTCTGGTCTCTGTGGTCTCTGGTCTCTGGTCTCTGGTCTCTGTGGTCTCTGGTCTCTGTGGTCTCTGGTCTCTGTCTCTGGTCTCTGTCTCTGGTCTCTGGTCTCTGTGTCTCTGGTCTCTGTGGTCTCTGTGGTCTCTGGTCTCTGGTCTCTGGTCTCTGTCTCTGGTCTCTGGGTCTCTGGTGGTCTCTGGTCTGTGTTCAGGTCTAATCCCAGCGCCCCCTGCTGTGTAAATCTGATTAAGTCTCTGAGGATCACCCCCCGGAGTTTAACCTCAGACCAGACCGAGCCAAACACCGACGTGTCACTGAGGAATCGAACCACCAACCCTCTGGAGTCGGACGCCGCTCTACCCCAGAACCTCACGTCCTCGAGCAAGACACTTCCACCGCCTGGAGTCTGTGTTCAGATTTCCAGCCACACCTTTGAAATTCTGATTTGTCCCAGTTTTATATAAGAAATGTCCCACGTGTCTCTATTTTTGACCAATCTGAAAAAAAAAAACATAAACTGACATTTGTTTCAATAAAATAAAGAAAAGCTGCTTAAAAACGACCAAAACCCAACGAAAACGTGACAACACTGACTCACGTTTCACATGTTTCCTGAATTATTCACTCGTTTCACAATTTTATTATTTCCAACCACCAAGAAAAAATCAGGAATGTTCCAGTTTTTGATTTTGAAATTCTGATCTCCTACTTTCCCACAGAAATGATCAGGTTCAGTATTTGTCCTTTTATATTTTGGTATTTCAGAGGAATAATACAATATTTTCATGATATTTACTGTGATTTTTAATCTAAACTAACAAAACTATTAACTTGTATTTCACGTAAAGTCCAGTGTGATTCATGAGAAAATAAACACTTAATACTTCTGTTTCCACACTATTATATTTATATTTATATCTGTTTCATAATCATCTTCTTGAATATATACTTATTCTCTCATTCTGGAGTGATTTATTTCACATTTTCCAAATCACAAAATTAAACTGAACTTGATTAAATTGATGTGAGTGAAGAATGACTCAGCAGAAGCTAAAGCAGCGGCTCAGAAATAACACAAAGTTTATATTTTTAACACTTTTTCAGTTTAAAGTAACTTTACACCTGATAAAACTATAAAAGTTCTCGTTGAAAGTGCACAGCTGATGATATTTTGAGGTAAGTGGAACAGAACAACGACACGGAAATTCTACAAAGATCAAGTTTCTGCAACGGGCTAATGCTAACGGGCTAATGCTAACGGGCTAATGCTAACGAAGCTAAATGCCACTTTAATAAAACGGAACTAAATAATTTTTACTTTACTTTTAAAAGTTTTACTTAATTACGACTCGTTTGATTATTTTATTATTACAAACAACCACAATTTATTCTGAAAATCTGCTCGTTCATGACGTGAAGTGTCTTATTTAAATTTAAATAAAAGTCGCACAAATGTCCAAACTTTTCTATGATTCTAAAACCGTTTAAATAAACATCAGAACTCCACCGTTCAGATTTATCAATAATATAACTGTAAAACAACAAGTTCCACTGGACCACAGGGTCTGGGCTTTGGTCTGGGCTTTGGTCTTTGGTCTGGACCACCTGTCTGTTTCTGGGTCTGGTCTTTGGTCTGGTCTTTGGTCTTTGGTCTGGACCACCTGTCTGTTTCTGGGTCTGGTCTCTGGTCTGGTCTCTGGTCTGGTCTCTGGTCCTGTCTCTGGTCTGGGTTCTGGCCCCTGTCTGTCCTTGGACCGGTTCAGGGTCTGTTTTTAGTTTGGATTTAGGACCTGCTGTGTTTTGGGATTATTCTAGAATAATCTGTAATCTGATCCAGCGCAGAACCCAAACACACGGGCAAAATAAAGTCTGAGGACGACACAAAAACACACACAACACACAACTACACAAAACACACACAACACACAACCACACAAAACACACACAACTACACAAAAACACACACAACTACACAAAACACACACAACTACACAAAACACACACAACTACACACAACAACACACAACACACACACACACACACACACAAAACACACACACACAACACACACAACTACACAAAACACACACAACTACACAAAACACACACAACTACACAAAACACACACAACTACACAAAACACACACAACTACACAAAACGTCAAACGTGAGTTTGTTTTAATAAAGTTGAACATGTGGACTCGTCTCAGCAGGAACTCGAGGATCTGAACCTGCAACCCTCTGGTCCAAGGGCGGAGGCTGAATGTGCAGGTCACACGGGGGCAGGTGAGGGCAGGTGAGTCTGCGGGGACTTGGACCGGTGACCCCGCGGTGAGGCGAGGGCGGTGAGGCGAGGGCGGTGAGGCGAGGGCGGTGAGGCGCGGTGAGGCGAGGGCTAACCACTCTGCCACAGGTGAGTCCAGCTCGGTGAGTAAGTCTGACTCTGAAGGACTGACACTGATCCTGGACTCAAAGAGGATTAGACCAGAGACCGAGTAAGACCCATCTGCTCCACACCTCCACAGACCAGAGACCGAGAGACCGGACCACAGACCAGAGTCCAGACCAGAGACCAGAGTCCAGACCAGAGACCAGAGTCCAGACCAGACCAGACCAGAGACCAGAGACCAGAGTCCAGAGAGAGTCCAGACCAGAGACCAGAGTCCAGACCAGAGTCCAGACCAGAGACCAGAGTCCAGACCAGAGACCGTCCAGACCAGAGACCGAGACCAGACCAGAGACCAGAGAGAGTCCAGACCAGAGACCAGAGAGAGACCAGACCAGAGAGACCAGAGTCCAGACCAGAGTCCAGACCAGAGACCAGAGACCAGAGACTCCAGACCAGAGTCCAGACCAGAGACCTGAGTCCAGACCAGAGACCAGAGACCTGAGTCCAGACCAGGATCCAGACCAGAGCTGAGTAGGACCCATCTGATCCACACCTCCAGAGACCGAGAGACCGGACCACAGACCAGAGTCCAGACCAGAGACCGGACCACAGACCTGACTGGAAACCTGAGTCCAGACCAGAGACCAAGTAAGACCCACCTGTGCACCTACAGAGAGACCAGAGTCTAGACCGGGAACCAGACCAGAGATCGGAGTCCAGACCAGAGACCAAAACAAGGACCGGACCAGAGGCCAGTTTGTACTGACGCAGTCCTGGAAGAAAGTCCGGACTAAAGGGACCTCTGCTGAGACCACAAGACCAGGAGCAGTCCGGACCACAGACCCGACCATGTGTCAAACGGACTACCAAATCTGGGACTAAGAACCGGACTCAAAAGACCCACAGAAGTCCAAGACCAGAGACCAATGTGAGGACCACGATGGAAAGTACAACATGAAAGTTTTGTTTGTGAAAAGACAGAAGCAGAAACTCAAGAAGAACTCAACCAGGACTAAACTAGATCTAAACCAGGACTAAACCAGGGCTGAGCCAAGACTGAACCAGGACTAAACCAGGACCCAGACCCAGGATTTCAGCTGGTCTTTGTTTTTCCTGTGAGTCGGACTAAACTGAACCAAACCAGGACTAAAGTGTGAGACTAAAGCAGGACTTTCAGAGGAACATGGCGTCGTTCTGGAGGTCCACGGTCCAGGTCCAGGTCCAGGTCCAGGTCCAGGTTCTGGTCTCAGGACTCCTCCTCGTCTCCTCAGGTTCGTATCATTTTAAACTCATCAGGAACTTTTAGACCAAAGACTCAAAACTCAACCTCAGACTCACCAAGAAGCACACGAGTTTCACAAGTACACAACTCTCCTACAACTGTGTGTGTGTGTGTGTGTGTGTGGAGTGTGTGTGTGTGTGTGTGTTGTGTGTTGTGGTGTTGTTGTGTGTGTTGTGTGTGTGTGTTTGTGTGTGTGTTGTGTGTGTGTGTGTGTGTGTGTGTGTGTGTGTGTGTGTTGTGTGTGTGTGTGTTGTGTGTTGTTGTGTGTATTGTTGTGTGTGTGTGTTTGTGTGTTGTGTGTGTGTGTGTGTGTTGTGTGTTGTGTGTATTGTTGTGTGTGTGTGTTGTGTGTGTATTGTTGTGTGTGTGTGTGTGTTGTGTGTGTTTGTGTGTGTTGTGTGTGTTGTTGTGTGTGTATTGTTGTGTGTTGTGTGTGTGTGTGTGTGTGTGTGTGTTGTGTGTGTGTTGTGTGTGTTGTGTGTGTGTGTGTGTGTGTGTGTGTGTTG